GGCCCCTGTGGACAAAAGCAGAAGTGCCTTGTTTCATTGATTTCAAGGGGAATCCGACCTGGTGGCAGACATTAAGAATAACCTGATAGAAATACTAATCTTCTCTCTGATGGTCTGTTTATGTAGGTCAACTGAGAATGTTTCGTAACCAGTTAAAAACTCCTAGCAGTAGGTTGAATATTTGACTCCAGTCCTCGTTATTTTCTGTAGGATGTGTTTGTTTTTAACGCTCGTGTGTCCCTGTGTTGTGCAGTTGCGGCTGGTGGTGGTGCTGTTCCAGGGCGTCCTCCACCTCAGCGTGGACTTCATTAACTCCTTCCCTCTGTTCGCGATGGGCCTCCGCATCTGTTGCTCCTACAGACTTGCAGGTATGTCGCCGTTAGCATCTGTGTGAGACTAAAACGTTGGCAATATGAACGGTTGATTAACCTGCTGATTACTAACGATTATGTTTAGTATGTTAAGGAAAGTTTTCTGTTAGATTTGGAAACAGAATCTGTTATGGAAACTGTTCACATATTTATCAGGACTTAATTTAGTTAATTTTCTTTTAAAAGCGCAAAAAAATCACCACAATAAGTTTAACATTTATGTGTCAAATATCATCAGGACAAAGGTTTGCAAATGGACTGCAAACAGTCGTTCCCCACACGCAGCAGAAAGCCATTAATGACATCAGTTTACAATGTCACGGCCTCCAAAACACATACATGGAGCTGGAGGTGTAGACTACAGTACCATCAATGTACATAAAGTGGACACAGCCACTGTAAATAAATAAAAAACAGATTTTAATCAACAAACAATAAATTAAAATCTCTGTATGTTAAACTACAATAATCACATTTGTCTTTATCGGATCAACATTCATTACACAGAACAACAGATCACACAGCAACAACAATGCTTTTACGATGCGTCATAATAACAAAAAACACAGTGAACAGAAAAGCTCCTGCAGCATTAATGCATGCATATACAAACAGTGACATTTCTAAATGAACCTGAGAGTCTGTGTTCACGTCCATGTGTATTCGGTCTCGCGCAAAGTAGTGAAAATCCATGTAAGTAGTTGAGTGTGAGAGATCACAGGAAGGTAATTATCATTCAGTCCCGGTGGCGTCTGTAGGTGGTGGAGTGACCGGTTCAATGCCACAGAGAATTGATCTGTTTCTACTTGTGAATCTATATTCTAACAGCCCAGAAAATGTGTATCAAGAGAAACAGAGCTTTTTTGTACTTTAAGTGCTGTAAATACATAATACATACACATAATAAATGTATTATATTAAAATGTGAAAGTATAGACTGCTCAAATTTTACACCAACTTTGCTGCTTAAATTTACTTTATTTGGGTGGAAAACTGAATGTGTGAGTTCATATTAAATCAATGATTGTACAGACCGATGGGCGACAACATGATGAGACTTGTACTCTTTATTGAGTGTGTGTGTGTGTGTGTGTGTACTTTCCAGAGGGTGTGAAGTTCAGGGTCCTGTGTGAGGAGCCCGGGACGGCCCTTCACCTGCTGATGGAGGTGAGTTGGTCCAGTTTCCTCCAGCTGAGAACAACTTCCAAACATCGAGTCCTTCCACTCACTAATTTCTACACAGTGAATGATTTATGTAACTTATTAACTAACAAAATTATACAGAGGCTACTTTCAGTCTCAAGATATCAGCATTGTACATAAAAACTGATTTTCTAACAGATGAAATGTTTAAATACATTTTATTTTATTTGAAATGTTCCCTCACTGTGATGTTTGATCTTCACTGTGCAGAACGATGAGTTTGTTTTCACATTTATCTGCTGAAA